AACAACAATTGAAAAATTGAAAAATTAGATTGGACAGCCACACAAACAAAAAATATGCCTATAGGAGGCGGAATTGTGGACACTCATCTGGAACTCTGGATGTTCGTAAGTGTTTGATTGACACTTTTATATGACCATTAATGCTTAGGCATATCGTATGTGACCATATTCCCCTTTACGAGACTGTCACTCCTACGGAGGTTGATTGGCTGCTGGCCCAGGAAGTGGTTAGTAAGTCAAGAGTCGAGGGAGCAATCAATAGCTTCTCTCCATATAAAGCACCAGGGCTGGACGGGATATATCCGGCGCTCCTACAGTGGTCTGGATATTATCTTAGACCAACTAGTGCTTATTTTTAGAGCGTGTTTTGCTCTGGGATACATACCTGAGAAATGGAAAGAGGTAAAAGTAATCTTTATACCCAAGCCAGGCAAAACTGATTATGCTAAGGCCAAGTCATACGACCCTATCAGTCTCACATCCTTTTTATTAAAGGCTCTTGAGAGACTGTGCGAACGAAATTAAAGGGAAGGACTCCTTGCACGCAACCCCCTTCACCGAACCCAACATCCATATATACCAGGGAAATCCACGAAGACTGCTCTCCACGCAGTCGCGTGCAGGATTGAACAGTCTCTGGATGGGGTCCACCCTGGCAGCATTTATTGATATCGAAGGAGCGTTCGACAAAACGACCTTCGATAATATCAAACAAGGTCTAGCTAGACATGGGGCTCCACATACCATCACCAGATGGATAGAGAGGATGCTAAGCTGGCGGGTCGTGAAAGTTGATACAAGGGACACCACTATCAATGCCCTGGCTAAGAGAAGCTGCCCACAAGGTGGTGTGTTATCACCGATCCTCTGAGACCTTGTGGTAGACAGCCCCCTACTTAGCTTAAATGATGCGGGATTCCCTACTATAGGTTATGCAGATGACTTGTGCATTCTGCTTACAGGCAAGGTTGAGAGCGTTCTATGCGATCTCATGCAAACGGCTCTTAACCAAATTTCATCTTGGTGTGAGGAGCACTCCCTGACGGTGAATCCACTGAAAACGGAGTCGATCCTCTTCATCAAGAAAAGAAAGCTAGTGGTATGCAAATACCCAGGCTAAATAATACCAGTGAGTCAATCGCTGACCCTAGAGGTCGCGTACCTGGGAGTTGTGCTTGATCAAAAGCTCAGCTGGAAAAGACACATTAAGTATAACGGAAAAAGCGAACATGGCCATGTGGCAATGCCGCAGGGCGATGGGCAGGTCATGGGGCCTCACACCCTAAATCACCCTGTGGATATACACCGCTATCATAAGACCGATGGTTTGCTATGCAGCTTTTGTCTGGTGGTCCAGAACCAAACAAGTAAAAACGAGGGCCCTACTCGATAAAACGCAACGACTTGCGTGTATCGGGATCACGGGCGCTATGAGAACCACTTCGACGAGGGCAATGGAGGCGGTCTTGGATCTGCCACCTCTGCACTTGTATGTAGAGGAGATGGCCCTTTTGACCGCCTGCAGATTGAAGTCCTTGGGCTTGTGGCAGCACGGAAGCTGGGTGGGGGACACTGCCGCATACTAGCGGAAGGGTGCAGAAATGCACCCTTGCTGGGAGCGGCGGTGGATCGCACGATGCCGACACAGATAACAAAATGATTCTACAGTGTCTATAAGTTGGGTGAGGCGCAGGCTACCCCCACAGTCTCAATATACAAGGACGGATTAAAAACCAGTAGAGGAACAGGAGCGGGTGTTTTCTCACCTGAACTGAACCTCCACATAAGTACCTCCCTTGGTGACCACACCACCGTCTTTCAGGCGGAATTGATGGCGGTCATCCAGGGAGCCAAGATAGCCATCGATCAGGAAATCGACGGCGAACGAGTGCGATTTCTAACATATAGTAAATCCGTGCTGTCGGCCCTTGACAGCACTAGAACAAACTCAAAGCTGATTATGCAGTGTATAGAGGCTCTAGAAGAACTCGCACAAAAGAATACCGTTGAACTCTGCTGGGTTTAAAGGGCACGATAACAACGCAGGCAATGAAGAGGCTGACTGTCTTGCCAGAGCAGCTTCATGATCCCTCTGTCAACTAACAACGTCATTGCCGGGGTTAAATGAATCATTCGTTCAGAGCACGCCAAAATGTGGCGCAGTTTAGGCACTTGTAAGCAGGGCAGATCAATGATCGACCTCCCTAGCAGGAAAAGAGCCGAGTATAGTGTACACTTGTCGAGGGAAAACCTCCGCCTACTGGTAGGAATTTACTCAAGACTCTGTAGACTAAATAAACACCTTCACACCTTGGGTGTTGTTGAGACCCCAATGTGTAGATGGTGCCACGCTGCAGACGAAACGGCTGGGCATGTGCTTTGTCACTGCCCAACCTTTTGTCAACAACGGCAAGCCATATTGGGGGACTTCTGGCCTGATATGGCCAGGTTGAGGCGCACCTCACCTGGAACTCTCCTGCAATTTATCTAACGGGTGCGATGTCTGCGGGAGACCCCCGGGGAGGAGAATGCGCCTCAACAAATAGAGGTGACACACAGGGCGCTAAGGCGAGGCCTAGTGTCAGTGATGTAACTCACCCTCCTTTGCAACTATCCAGATCCAGATCCCCTTTACCATTTGGTAAGTTTTTTGATGTATACATCCTAACTCTCCCTAACTCCAATATTTTGTGTCTTGTCGAATTTATACTGATGATGGATCTAGGATAGATCCGAAACATGTTTAACCTCCCCCCCCCTCCTTTCAACTGATTATATTTTTTATAAAATAAAGAGTGAAAATAGACTGTGTGTTTTACTCCAGTTCTCTTTTCTTATTATTACCTATTCTTGAGTCAATTAACTCGAGCTAAGGGTATAATACTTCTCAATGCTGCCCTACGCACGTCTAGCCATAAGGTCTATAGACATCCGAAATAATATCTCAGCTCATCAAAGGCTAGAGGAAGACAACATCGACGAGAGGCATCCTATTTGTACGTGGTAAAGTTGGCTAAGCCGAGGACCTTTAAATATAGAGCTTCTTTTTGGTGGCGTACTGTCCATTTCTGGAACTTCCTGCCCCCTACTTCAGGATTATTCGTCACTTAATTTCTCCTGCTTAGGTAGGACTTTGTCTTTTGTGAGCGGACCAATACAAAAATTTTAAAAAAATAATTAACTGGTCCCCCTAATAAAGGGGTTGAGGCCTCCCTGTTACTCCGAAAAACTGTAAACTGTTGAAAGACCCAATTAGCTGCCTCAGAACAACTGTACGTATACAGGGTGTAACGAAAGGTTTGTTACAAACTGCTAGGGATGCTTGGTAGATCTCTTAGTGAATAAGTTTTTTTTTCTAATAAACTTGGGTCCGGAGATGCTTCGCTTCCTAGATACAGAGGGTGTGTGAGAATAAGTAAATTTTTTAAGTCTCAGAAATGCGTGCGTTTTAGAAAAAAAAGTTTTTTTGCTTTTTTTTATTAGGCAACAAAAAGGCTGGTTAAATTTCAGGTTAGTCTGAAAAGCTTGTCTTTTGAGTTTTATTTATGAAGATCGGTGACGTTTGTGGTTCGCCTAAATTTTTGATGAGTGCGGCTTTATAATAGGGCCAAATGTTCATTTACCTGTCAATCAAATGTAAAAAATTAGGAAACCTTTTTTGAGGTATTAAAATTAACGTTTTTGGGCCTGGCATGAAAATATTGTCTGCCGCCGACAGGCCATTATTCAATGACCTCGCCCCTTCAAACACAATCTCGCTCGAAAAAATATGAGTCTGTGGCAACACTTTTTGTCACGTTTTGAGTCCATAAATAATATAAACACGTCGAAGAATATAATATTCTTTGGTCACGTTAAATTACGTCACCGTACAAAACTTTGACCGAACTCGACTGAAAAATATGTTAATTATTCTAAGATTTTTGACCTGGTTCTGGTCGTCATGCACTGACGAGATGCAAGAATGCGAGGACACCTATAAAGGCGTCTGGTCTGTAGTACCTACTTGGAGCCGCGAAGAGAAATGGGTATTGGTTTGCCATAATTTGATTCTGGAAATGTTTCCAGGCACTGAATTGGTATAGTTGCATATAATAATTAAAATAATTTTTTGAAAAATTTATATTACGATTATGTAGATATTATGCATATAGAAATGTGTTTTAATATAAAAGGTGATCGGAGCTCGTCTTCTAAATATTTTGACACATTATGTTAAAAAATATCCAAAAATTTTCAAACTTTTTATAGAATTTTTAGAATTTGGAAGATGGTTCAGTTTGAATGCTCACATTGAATGCAATTGCAAAAGATTAAAGCATTAGCACAACACAACAAAAATATTACTTCTAATTTTCGCAAAATATTTGAAATTGAAACATTACTAAAACATCACTAAATCAATACCCAAGCCAAGTCACAAATAAATAAATAGGTAAACAAATAAAATAAATTCTAGATTCCTAAAGGTAGGTTGAGAAGAATAATGATGAATCGCACATTCAAAATGTTTTATTATGGCTTTTTTTCAAGGAAAAAACAGAGTCTATGAATGCTGGCGTGCAAATGATTGTGGCAAGATGAGAATTAGTTCGAGAAATATTGACATCTTAAATCCAAGATATTGAAGATTTGTTGGGTGAATTAAGGTTTCATTATTACTTAACAGATCTTCAATAATTAGAAATAAATTAACACCATGCAAATGCCGATTTATTTCCATTAATTTTATCTTCTTTTTAAGGATTGGAGTTAACTAATAAATCATTATAGGTCTGTATTTAATAAAACTTTTGTTTAACACTAGAATAAGTATCACTGCCAAACTGAACCTAGGCTTTTCTACTCAAGGCACAGCGACCATCCGGAATCACATTGCATGCTTTGTAAATTCTCCTTCATACTAATCACAGCACAAAAATATTGTAAGTAACCCAATAACTCATAAAAGTTATAATGTAGAAAAAATATAATAAATAGTTCAATTATTATGATTTTAGGTAAAAAACAATTCATAACTGCCACAAACGGAGAGTTAGCACAGAAAGCCATAGAATTGGTAAATGCAGGCATATCTATAAGAAAAACGGCTTCGATACTGCACATATCCAAAAGTTCCGTGCACACTATAGTGAAAAAATACAGGGAATCTGCTGGAAGTCATTTTCTGTGTTATCCACCACCCAGAAGTGTAAAACGACGTGCCAATGTGAAAGACGATTTTATTTTGGATTTGGATCCTTTTTTCGAAATTAAACAAGAACTACTGGATGAGCATTTTTAGAATGTTTTAAGAATCATTCCCAGTTTTTTATGAATTCGTTATTTTAAACCTGTATTTTCAAATATTATTTCTTTTTACTGAATGTGCAATTTTGTTTTAACTGTAGCTTCTACTGTTTTTGTTTAGCATATTTTTTAATTTTTTATGTTGAGTTTATTTACCTTATATGTATTAGCATGATTTACAAGCCAAAATAATAAAATTAGAATAAGAAGTATTCAGGGCGTATCAGGTTTGAGGTTTGACTACTATGATTTTACACCTGAAAATATTGGCTATTTTGAACAAAAAAAGTCTGGGCAACGTGGAGTCAACACAAAACCATGTTAAAGAGAAAGGCCTATCAAAGCTATGAAATTTTTTAGCGAATATTTGAAAAATTAATGAAACTTGCAATAATTTTGTAGTAACGTTACTATAACACTCTAACACTAATTAACTCAATCAACTAAACTCTTACAATATTCACTATATAAAACGTATAGTCTCTTTTCCCGAATAACGCAGTAACTTCTAGAATTCAGGTATTAGATTCTGTGCGCCCTAGCGGAAGCGCCATATACCGTAACAATGCCCTCCTCTTAAGGTTGATCGTCCCGATCAACTTCACGCCCATGATATTTCGTCAATCTGTCTAGATGGACAACTTTCATTTTACTCCTGGTGTTGCGCTGAACTCGCTAAACCAAGTCATTGATCCCCTTGATTATTCTGTAGGGTCCTTCCCATGTTGAAGACAATTTCGGCGACACTCCTTTCTTTCTAGTTGGATTATACAGCGACCTTCTTCAAATCCGGCTGAATTGACTTTCAAGTCGTATTTGGTCTTCATTCGGTCGCTGGCCAGCTAAATATGCTACCTAGCTAAATCATGTATCCCCAGAAATCGTGTCCTTACTTCGTCGGCATAATCTCGAATTTATTTTCGTTCTTCTTCAGGTATTCCAAACATCAGATCGCAAGGTAACCTGAGTTCCCTTCCAAAAACGATTCTAGTTAGACTTTCACCTGTTAACTCGCGAACAGCTGCTCTGTAAGCCATTAAAAATAGAGGCAAAGGTTCGTTCCAATCTCGCTGGTTCTTTGCGACTTCTTTTGCAGGTGTTCCTCTATGGTCTTATTAAATCGTTCTACCATGTCATCAGACTGTGGATGTAAAGGTGTTGCATGTGTGTCCTCGTCTTACGAATGCCCATGATCTCAGAAATTTTCTTGAAGACGGCAAATTCGAAGTTTCGTCCCTGATCTGAATGCGACTCTAGTGGCACACCATGACGACTGAAAACTTCGTCAACTAACACCTGGGCAATGGTGATGGATTCTTGATTGAGAATAGCGAAAACTTTGGCCATTTACTGAAGTAATCCATGATAACCAAGATGTATTTGTTATCACGCTCTGACTCAGGCAACGATCCGGCAATATATTCTTTCAAATGGGAGCCCGAGGTTGTACTGATTCATGGGCCTGAGATCTCAGTTTAGGGCCTTTACTGGTACAGTTTTTCACGTCTCTATGATAGTGGACCCAGTAAAAACCCACCCGAATTTGGTCCAAAGTTTTGTTAACTCCAAAATGTGCCCCTGAAGTTCCGTCATGTATTTCTTTTAATACATCTTCTGCTCGATCTTTTGGAATAACTAGTTGGCTCTTAGTAGTTTTCCCATCGGCACTTTTCCAAACTCTTTCCAGTAAACCATTTTCCACGGTCAGAGAATTCCATTGAGCTCACAACGCCTTGTGAATGAAACTCTGGTTCGACACTTCTCTCAATTCTTGCCTACCTTCATCATTTTCTTCAAGATGTAGAATTTGCCCGATGTCCTGGTCTGCCTCTTGATCTGCTCTAATTTGTTTGGTAGTCCATTTATCATTAACGATAAGACCCGTTCTTCTGACAACTGGACCAGTGTTTTTCTCATGCATATCCATTCTTTGATAATGCTTGCAGTCTTCTTTGCATGGTCGTCAAGACAGAGTGTCAGCATTTTTATGTAGGTTTCCACGTCGATGTTTAATTTGGAAATCGTATTGCTTCAATTTCTCAATCCATCTAGCAAGCTGTCTTTCGGGAGTTTTCATTTCTTAAAGTCATTTTAGAGCCGCGTGATCTGTCCGAATTAGAAACTTCCGTCCGTTGAGATACTCATGGAAATGGTCGACTACTTTTACTATGGCAAGCAACTCTGTTCTGGTGACACAATAATTTCGTTCTGGCGCTGATAAGGTTCTGCTGTAATACTCTACGACATGCTCTTGTGAATTTGTGAAAGTACAGCTCCGATACTGGTGTTGCTTTCATCTGTGTCCAAAATCAACATGCCTTTCTGATTCGAATAGGACAACACTGGGATTGTACATAATGTTCCTTTTAATTTTCTAAAAGCGGAATCGCATTTTTGGGTCCACTTGAATGTTGATTTTTCTTCCGTTATTCGATGAAACGGAGCAGCTATATTAGTGGATCTTTCTACAAATCTTCAATAATAAGAACATAATCCTAGAAAACACTTTGGTTCATGTTTGTTGCGTGGTTATGGCCAATGTGTGCCATCTTCAGATACCACGTGACCTAAGAATTTCTATTTCTTTTGAAATAGAAAACACTTATTTGGGTTGATTTTTAAGTTGGTATTCCGGAAGCAGTCAAAAACTTCTTTCAGGTTATTGAGATGTTCTTGGAATGAATTTCCCATGATCATGACATCATCTAAATATACCAGACAAGTTCTCCATGTAAGGCCTCCCAAAACTAGATGCATCAGTCGCTGAAACGTAGCGGGAACATTATACAATTCGAAAGGTATTACGTTAAACTGGTATGATCGGCTTCGGGTACTAAAGGCAGTTTTCTCTTTGTCATCTTTGTGTATTGCCACTTGCCAGTATCCACTCTTAAAATCCAAGGTGGTAAACCATTTGGAGCCCGATAGAGTTGTTAATGTATCGTCTATTCTCGGAAGATGTGGAAACTGTTCTCCATGCGCGGGATATGAACACAGAAGATGCTCTATAATACCTTGGTCCTATACGTAGTCATGGGAATGATTGCTGGAAAGCAGGAGCAGGCAGTCACGATGATCATTTCGATCACAATCAATTTGGAACGTACCCAGGAATGGCTATACTGGGTATTGGTAGCCTGCGGGCAATCCCTTATCTGCAGACAGCTTCCCTCCAAACGCAGGTCCAGGCGGTTTATTGAACAGTATGGGAGGAGGAGCAGGCCAAGCCAACAACTCTCTTAATCAACAACATTTCTCAGGTTGTAGTCCAGAAAACTCAACAAGTTGGCATGTGTGGCGGTCAAGGTTTTGTTGGTTCTTCAGGAGGTCGTCCGATGCAACCCCAAGGATAACCCTCCACTCAACAATTGCGCATGTTGGTGCAACAAATTCAAATGACCGTAACGGCTGGGTACCTTAATCATCAGATCCTGAATCAGCCTCTTCTTGCCCCGCAAACTCTAGTCCTATTGTATCAGCTTTTACAGCAAATTAAGACGCTGCAGCAATTGAATTACCAACATCAAATCGCTGTCGTAAACCTCACATCACTGTCACGACTCCGGCGTGAGCTAACAGAAATCTTGGGTCCGTTTATTCGAAACTCCAAGTCCAATTAACACAACAATAATTTATTCAACATTACTATAACAATCTAACACTAATTAACTCAATCAACTTAACTCTTACAATATTCACTATATAATACGTATAATATACCAGCCAATCTTAAACTGAAAACTACTAACTAATCCTGGCCTTTATATATTCGTAATCCATTCCTGTAAAATCCAGAGGAACGCAATAGTCTCTTTTTCCGAATAACCTTCTAGAATTTAGGTATTAGATTCTGTGCTCCATGACGGAAACGCCATGTACCGTAATAATATAAATAGCACTAATTGACACTGCTGCCATCTTACGATAAAAAAACGAACAAATTACACGTACTTAATAATTTTTATCTTCAAGTGATCTATAATTTGAACATCGTCAACATTTGGCACAGAAGTGATCATCAATTTCAATATAAAATGGATCAATTTGACTTGGAGAAAAATATCTATACAACGTATCACATTGTAAACATTTTGGTCATTTTTTCCGGAAATCTTAATATTTTACCCACATTTAATTGGTTCAAAATGGGCATATTTTTACGTGTTTAAATCTATGCCATCATACCTGATACAACTTGTACGACTATTTATACCTGGTACTCTTTAATATAGGATACATATACAATATGTGTATGAATAAAAATAAAGTAAATGCATCCAGGTCAAGTATAAAGAGTCTATTCCGTAGTTAACCGAAGTAGTTATCAAAAATAGAAGTCGGTATTTAATCTTATTGATAATGATTAGGCACAGAGAAGACGCCTATACCTAATAAACTAGCAATAACTGCGTTTATTCATACGTTCCAAAATATTATATCTATTATATTACTGTTAGAAATATTTTTTATATAAATGTTTTAAAGTTAAAGTTACCTTATATTGTTGAAATAAATTATGTAATAATTTTTTTTTTATTATTTATTTATTTTATAGGTCATACAAACTTTATTAATACCTTTTTAATACATATTCCACCATCGGTGTAACGATTCACCTTCTGATCTCCAACATATAATCCCATTGATCGGCCAGATACTAGCTTGGTTTATTTGTCTTAGGGCCGGTTTATTCACCTTCTGATTAACTGTTAGGTATGCAATCTGACGGATAAAAATGCAATCAGTTATCCACCGACCAATAGAATTATTGAACGGTAAATTTATCTTACAGATAGTTATCAGCAAGTTTAACTAAAGATGAATAAACCGGTCCTAAGTCTTGTAGATAGATAAACAGTTTATCCGAAGATGAATAAACCGGGCTTAAATAGGTCGTTTTTGAGACTAGGTAATTTTTTTCATCCAAACGCTCTCAATAAGCAAGACTATTTAGGAAAATAACACACTGTGCATCGATCCAATAATGGGTTTATCGCAAGTCGAAAAACAGCGAAAATAATTAACCAGGATAATTATGATGAGGCCAGCAGGAAACGAAGCAGACTTTTTTTAATGGAAATATTGCAGACATTTTCAGCACAGGAGTTGTCCAGCTGCCGCATACTGTGGTAAAATTTAAGGGGGTTTTTCATGCTGCAAGGGCTCCTTCAAGCAGGTGCAAGTGGCAAGAGATGTCACTAAAAGGCCGTTTTACAGTTCGCATTTTTTCTCCCTGCAAGTTTTATTGCTGCTATAAATTTGTGACGGTAGGGAAAGTAACATCAAGCTTTTGTCACGTTCTTCTGCGTCTGTTGAATTGGGGTTTTTAAATGGATACAATAAATTATAATCTAAAAATAGTACCTACCGAGGTACCTACTTAATGAAGTTTGTTATAATGAAATAATAATGAAAAATGGGGAGAAAAAAGTATAACATACAG